GCAAGGAGGCTATTCCAGCGCACCTTTTTCTGACCCCCTTGCCCCAGAAACTGAGGATGCAGTGTGGAGTTCCCATCGAATGCTCATCTCCATCCCCCGGGCTCTCCCGTGCCTGCCTCCACCCTCACCTCCATTCCCACCGGCCATCCTCGCCTGCGCTTCTGCAGGCCAGTCTACACCCCGAGTAACACTTCTCTATCCTCCACTTTTGGGCAGAGTCACATACCAACCCCTCTGACCCTGACAAGAATCCTCATAAAGAACTCTGGAAAGGAGCACATAAGGATGGCCAGGCCGGGGGTGCCTGCGGAAGCAGCCGACTCAGTACAGCGACAGCAGCCGTGGCTACCATTTCCCGCGGGCTTGCTGTGTGCCCAGCCCAATGCTGAGAGCCTTCCAGAAACCATCTCCTTCAATCCTGACCTCAAACCTACCCCCACCTTCTATGGATAAGGCGATGGAGGGTCTCGGCAACACACTCACAGTGTGAAGTTAGAACAGGTGGAGCTGGGCCCTGAGCCCAGGCTTCCAGACCTGGAACGGGCACTCCGGCTTCCAGGCCTTCTGCTTCCCCGAGCCTCCTGTGAGCACCCGCCCTTCTCTGCACCCTTGGCTCAGAGGTTCTCACGCAGCGGGGACAACTCGGCCTTTGGGAGTCTTGGTTTCCTTATTTGTAAATGATGTGGCATGGGCTAGACACATGAATTGTATTTAGCTAGTGAAATCAGATGGATTCCAATAAAGCAGATGTTAGACTTGATGGTCCCTGAGTTATTTTCAGCTTGAACATTCTAGAAAACTTTGTCCTCATTACCCATTTCAGTATTTCTCACTATTTTTGTGGGCCTTTGGTCTGGCCTAAGTCCTCACTGCATGTGAACCCATTTTTAGGTGGAGACTCCTTTGGGCAGTTTGAGCGGACCGCAGGTGCATGAGCGTGGGCGGAGCTGCGGCTCGAGGGGAGGGAGGGCCCTTCACGAGCAGCTGCAGCGCCGGAAGATTAAGAGCGAGAATGTGGGGGGGAGGCGGCGGCGCCTGGGTGGCTCAGTCATTGGGCGTCTGCCTTCAACTCAGGTCATGACCCCGGGGTCCTGGGATCGAGCCCCACATCAGGCTCCCTGTGCCGCGGGAAGCCTGCTTGTCCCTTTCCCACTCCCCCTGCTTGTGTTCCCTGTCTTGCTGTGTCTCTCTCTGTCAAATAAATAAATAAAAAATCTTAAAAAAAAAAAAAAGCGCGAACGGGAAGTTGGAGATAGCCGTGTGACAGGCAGCCACGCTCACACCGAGCAGCGCCTCTCAACCCACCGGCGACCGGCCTCAGCCCAGAACTGGGCGGACCAGAGGCTGGGGTGGCCGGGAGCAGATGGGCAGTCCCTGCTGTTGCTGCTAGCATCCAAGGGCCCCTTCTACCCATGCCTGAGAAATCCGATCCTGGCCCCAGGCAAAATCTCCCCCCATCCCCCCCCCGGGAGAACCCATTCTTCATGTTGCTGTTTTGAATCTGAGATCAAATTAGACGTCTCGTTTAAAAAAAAAAAAAAAGTCATCCAGCTGGTTTCAGATCCCAGAAGCCCAGTCAGGGCAAGGCGGCCACAGGAACACCGGGAGCTGGTTGTCTGGGGAGGGGTGGGGGTGACAGTCAGCTTTTGTTCACGCTCCTTTTCCAGGGCACTCAGGGAGGGGGCCCTGCAGCCCCTGCCGGTATCTTGATGAATGAGCACAGTCCTTGGAATCAACGGGTTTTCCTGATCCTAAACTGAGGACAAACAGCCAATGACAGGGAGCATCTGTGTGGCAAGGGGGCTTGGAGGCCCTTCCTGTGTCAGGGCTCCCAGCCCGCTGCATGCTGGTCCCTGGGCTCACCCAGGGCCTGGTCACACGTTCCTGGCAATCAGCACTGTCACATCACCAGTGGGCGCTGCTCAGAACCCCACCGGGCCCAGGCCATCAGACTTGGATGCCTGGGTAGTAGATGCGCAGGTCTCGGGGGACCCTCGTGTTTGCCACCGGGCACGGGGGAGAGGGAAAGGCAAACGTAACAGCCAGATAACTGCTCGCTTTCACTGAGATGGGGGTACGTATGAGATGAGCAGATTTTGGGGAGGGTGGGAGGACGCAGACGGTGAGTTCATGGTTAATTTCTAACCTAGAAATAATAGTCACCATGAAGTAAATGCCTTCTGTTTTCCAGTCACTGATGCCAAGCACTTCATGTATGTTATATTCAAATCCAAGAATTCTGCAAGTAGGGACTGTGGCCCCCACTTGATAGAGAGGAAACTGAGGCTCAGAGAAACTAGAAGACTTTCCTCCAAGCCATGCCCCCTAGTGGAGGAACGTTTACAGGAGTGAAATTCTGGCTCCCCTACTTACCAGCTCTGTGATCCTGGGAAGGACGTACTTACCGTCTTTACATCTTAGTTCTTTACCCATCACAGGGTCTTTGTGATTCTTTGTGAGGCTTCTATGGGGTAGGGTCTTGAGGCACCTGTTACAGTGCCTGTCATAGAGTGAATGCTCAGTGCACGGGCATCATTCACTCTCTCTCTGTGGCCTGCAGGTCACTGGCCTATGAGGACAAAGGGCCTCTCGTATGGGGAAAGGAGGTGAATTGTAAATGTTTTCTTCACCTCCAATGACTCTCTCCTCTTACAGGGCCCTCTGAAGAGCCCCTATTTTGAAGGCATTTAGAGAATAGGATGAACGTCATCTGGCTCTCCGAGCCAAGAAGTTCTTGGTAACAGATCCTCAGGAAAGTGCTTCCAAAGCCGTGTCCTGCCCCTTCCTCTTATTTCCTCCCAACATTTAACCTCAGTCCTGCCTCGCTGACCCCTAGAACCGTGGCCAGCACACTGTCCAGGATGGCTGTTTCCCATTGTCCCCTGACACCTCTGTGGTGGTGTCAGGGTGCTCATTAGTTCCATATTGGTCCCATTCTCTTTAGGATAGACAACCCCAACTCCCTTGCCCGTGGCTTTCCCAGAATAAGCTGTGGCGCAGAGAGTGGGAAGGATGGTGCTGGGATCACTCCTGGTACAAGATGAACCCCTTCTCCAACACCGAGTTCATTTTTCCAGGCCGCCTGGGAGCCTAGATGAGAGCGTGCGTCAGCCGTGACAAGACCGGGGAGGGTTGGCGGGCGCTGGGGACGAACGCCAGTGTGTAAGCCATCCCTCTCCACCCCGAGAGGCGGGAGCTCCTCAGGTGCAGCCGGACCCTCCTCTAAAGCAGGGAAGATTACTGCTCTCGGCAGGCACTCGGAAGCAGAGATAATAATATAATTTGATGTTCCCCACTCTTTGGGGAAGAGATTACACGTATAATAGCCATTTTCAAGAGCCTGGGAGGAGGAATGCAGCCAAAGAGTGGGAGGAGGAGGGACCTGAACTTCAAATCAGGGCTGCCGAGCCTGCTGGTTATGTACACAGGCAGCCTTTTACATTTTTGAAGCTCCACTGAATTCCCTCTGGAAAGAGCACATTTTGCGGCCTCTTGTTTTCTTCTCTGTGCTCTGTTTAGCATCAAGCCAACTCCCTTTGCCATTTAGTAGCCTCTCGAAGTGTGTCTGCTGGCCTACTGGGCCTGAGTGGCAGGTCCTGACCTCTCTGATGCGGCCTGTCACTCGCCGGCCACCAAGGGACCGTGCTAGGTACCACCGCGAAGTGCTCCAGCGAGCTCCCTCCAGCCCCACACGGTGCACCGGTCCCAGCACGAGGGTCTCAGGGCTACTGACTTCCTTTCGGCCCCTCAAAGTGCCAATTATTTGTCTTAGTTTCAGGAGCAGAGTTCTTAATTCACGCCGAGGGCTACCGCACTTGTCAGGAACCATTTCTTTGGGTGTACTGAATAAAAACTCTGAGGAGGGGGAGAATTTCCTTTCCTACACGGTCCAGAAAACGTCCAGCTCTGAGTCCTTAAGGGACATGGGCTTTACCCTTGCTCAGGCCCCTCAAATTTAACCAACCAATGTCACCGTCAACCCCTTCGACCTCAAGATGGGGCCTGGTAATCTGTTTGTGTAGCACTTTATAATTCCCTGAGTGCCGGGAAGTTCATGGAGGCCTCACGACAATACAGGTGACTGGTTGGACAGGTATTCTTCTAGCTTTTCCAGAAGGAGCAATCAAAGCTCAGAGAGGTTAAGCGACTTGCCCGGAGTCACGCAGCTGCTGGGTAGCGGGGCGGGACCGGAAGTCTTTAGAACTCTGGTCCGACACTTGGCGTTCACTCTAGCATGAGGGTCCTGCCACCCACCCTAAAATGGTCACGCGACTGTGCTGAGCCGTGGGAGAAGAGTGTCACCTGTTGGACTTGTCACTTAGGGACCTGGGGTCCAGAGGTGCCAGTGGCAAGGGAGCAGTGTGTTTGGGGGAGGGGGGGAGTGCAGGGTGGGTTTGGGGAATAAATACGTCGACGTTTATGTGAGGTCAGGGTGGAGGCAGGTGCCCCTGCTTTGACACTTCAAGCAGAAAACCATCTAACACGTGGAATAGATGTTTATAAATCCCTCGATGGGCTGGACGAGGGCACCAGGCGGCGCTTCCGGGGATGATTCCCTGGATCGTTGAGAACTCCCTGTCAGGGGAGCCACCACCTACCGACCACTCGACCACTCAACCACCTACCACCACTGAGCACATGGCACGGTGGCAGGCCAGGCCCAAGAAGCTGCCAACACTGTCCCTGGGCCAGAACTCGGACACAGATCCTGCTGTCGAAAAACTTGATGTTTCTAGCTTTTGCCAGCAGAAAACAGCCACAGGGGCAGGAAGGGCATTCAGCTGGCAGAATCTAGTTCCTGTCTAGAACCACTGCTTACAAGGGAATCTGGGAAATGTCGCTTTCCGTTTGCTGGTGTCCAGCCCCTGCAGGGCAGGAAGGGACAGTAGAAGAAAGCGTGGTGGATGCCGAGTGGTTTCCAACACAGTGGCCAGCCTGACGCCCACTCTCCCATTACCGGTGAAAACCAGAGGCAAGCATCTGAAAACAACATTCATCTCTGGAGTGGACATTCGAAAAGTCTTTATTAGCACAGGGACCCCCCCATAGCACACAGTCCTGTGTTTGTGAAAATGTGCACAGACACCATGTGTCTTAATCAGCGACATACTTCATCGTCGAGTTGAGAATCTCTAGCCCATGCAGCTCCCGCAGCTGAGCAGCAAATCTGCCAGAGTCAGAACACAAAGGTGAGCACATCAGTGCCATGGGGCCCGGGGCCACCCCCTCTCAGGGAGAAGCTGGCTGGCAAGGCGGAAAGGGAGTAGCTGCTGCCCCGGGAGCCCTAGCGATCAAAGCAGGGAAGGTGCTCAGGGAGGTCCACAAAGCACGGTAAATGCTGTTGAGTGGCTGATCCGATGGGACCCTGTGCTCAGGGACTCCCAGGAAACTGCTACTCTGAGCTCATCCTAGCCAATGTGCCTTGCTTTCTGGAGAAGAAAGATGTTATCCAGGCCTTCCATTTGGACAACCCGACAGAACGTGAAAGGGCCTCAGATGTCATCCAAGCCAACCCTCCTCATTCTCCAGAGGAGGAATCGGAGGGGTTAGTCTGTATGAGGAGGAGCCAGGCAGGCCAGCGCTGCTCCCTGTCCATGGAAGGCACCCCCTTCTATGCCGGGGCCCCGTCCCTCAGACACAGGGGGGCGGCTTCTGGGAGCTTGAATGACCAGGCGTTTCAGCAGGTCAGAGCCCAGCCAGAGCAGAACAGAAGCTAAAAAAGAAGCGATGTACACAGCTAAAGCCCAGATCTCTCGCCCCGGCTTGCCAGGTGGTCTGGAACACACCATTCTATCCCTCACTTCGGTGTTTTCTCCAGCACAAGAACCTTACCCTCCCTGGACATTCTCCCATATGCTCAGGCCCCAGGCGAAAAAGTGAAGCAGTGGGGGCTATGTGGGAAGAGGGGCAAGGAGCTGGAGGGACGGCGGCGGCAGTGAGCGCACGGAACGGATCCCTGTCCGAGGGGCATCTCCCTGCTCTGGCTGGAGCCCGGAGCTCCCCAGTGCCCTCAGGGAAGCGGCTATTGGGCCCAACACCTGTCCACACACAAAGCACCAGGGCTCATGGGGCTCCCCCTGGAGTGCTGGGTGGCACGGAGGCCCAGCTGCCGCACAGCGCCTTCAGGAGTGTGACCGACACGGGCCCAGCCCACCCCCCCAACCCCCATCCCTCCAGCCAGCAGCCGTTGCGTACCTGGGCTCGGCCGTGCACAGCTTCCCCAGAGCGATCCCCGCGTTCAGCTGCACGGCGGTCTTCTGCGCATCCCCCCCCGCGTGCCTCAACAGCACCTGCACGATGTCTGTCTTCAACAGGGGGGGCGCAGCCTGGGGCACCTCCATGCAGTTCCCCAGGCAGAGGGCGGCATTGCCCACCACCATCTCATCCTCGGAGCCGAGCAGCTTCATCAGAATGCCGAACTCTAGGGGGAGGGGAGAGAACAAGCATCTGTCCCTCCGAATCCCAAACCTCCGAATCCCTCGGTGTCCACGGACACTCCCTGTGCCCCTCGCGTCCCCAGAAGCTCTGGGGGTCGTCACTCAGCAAGTATTTGCTGAGCACTGTGAACCTCCTCAGGCCTCCTGTGTCTCCGAGGTCTCAGGAGCCCAGAGCAGTGCCCAGGGTGACACGGCTGTTGTGTGAATGAATGCTATGTGTCGGACAGGTCTGTCTTCCCTAAAGTCCCCGATCTTTACCCCTACACTCCAGAGAGAGTGACCCAAGCGGGGGGCCACAGGCCGGCTCCCTGTAGCTGCAGGGCAAGGAGCAGGACCCAGAAGAAGGGCCCGCTCAGGCCACTTCCCACGCATTCCAGAGCAGGTGCGAGGGCGAACATTAGCAGGCTGCCTCGCTGGGAACCCCGCTATGGATGCCGGCAGCCACTTTTAGTCACTAGCCTGCTCCGACGCCGGCTCCGACTCTGCTATCTTCCCAGTTCACTGAAGGTTGAAGGTGTCCCCCCACACACCCCTTGAAGGGCGAGAACCCGTGTTAGACCAGCCTAAGCAGAACACTTCAGAAACAATTTCCATTTACTTGGGGGGGGAGCTGGTTCCCCGCATCGACCCCATTATCTCTGAGCCATGTTATAGCAGAGTTTTCAGCATGCGCAGCCGAAGGCTAATTAAACGTTTCCAGAACAGGGTGACACAGCGATCTTACTCAGTAAACACTGCGGAAGTCTAGGGAGAGGTTAACAGCACTCTGTCAGTCTCTCCCCGCTCCTCATCCCAGTTCCCTTTGCAGCTTCCAGGATGGCTGAACCTTGGGATGTAGGCTCCCCTTAAGGAATCGATCACTTACTTTTATCCAGTCTTATCACTTCTTCTCGCGCTTCATGAAAGCTATTCGTGCAGACAGCTAGTGTCTTTATGGCATATCGTGAGGCAGTCTGGCCCCCCGTCTGGGTTTCAGAATGAAATCAGAAAAAGAAATCAGTCCTAGGATTGTTCTGGGCCAGAAACCAGCGAGCAGCTGTGCTGTGCTTGTGTGGCTTCTGGAACTTCTGAAACACTGCTCCCCTGAGAATGGCCCGCACTTCCCGGGGAGCAGGCCAGGTCCCTGTTGGGGTGGTGTCATTCACGTCCCCAGTAACACAGCCCACAGCCTGGTAGGAATTCTGACAGGGCCACGGGCCTGTCATGCACACCTGGGTAATTGCCCGCAGAAGGCTTTACGAGTGAGTGGCTGAGGAGGGAAGGATGCTGTCGGCTGGCAGATCTACCAAAAAGACGGGAAGAGCACCCCACTCCCAACCCCATGTCATTTCACCATTGGAGAATGGGGACTGACTTGCTAAGCCTGTCAGGCTGACAGGCCTGCATGGAGAACATCGCAAATCTAGATCATTTTAAGAGGTGATAACTGTCAAATCATAACCCTCAAAATCACCCAGTGCAGGGTCTTTAAGATGTGCATGTGCATCTTCCATGCATAATGCACATGTGTGTGCATATGATCAGCAGGCTCCAGCGGGTGTGCGAGAGCCACATGGAGTCTGAAGTCTGACCCACCATCCCACCCCCTCACTGTTGCCCTGCCCTAGCAGCAGCCCCCCGACGGAGCACGCTTCCTGGCCCTGCTCAGCCCACTAACATGGTGGGGTGAAGCGCACTGGGCATGGGCCGCTCGGGCAGGGGCCACAGATGGCAGCCTGGTTACTCACCTGGTCTTCTCAGTGAGTCTACTCAACTGTCGCACTGACTCGCTCAGACCACGGGAGCATCCTTGTGTCCCATGGTAAGGCTGCACCCTCCGTATCCCATAAAGGGACAGTCAGCACTCTCCAGGCAGCCGGGGAAAGCACAGCGAGCAGAAGGTGAGCAAAGTATGGGCCCGTGGGACCTTGTGGAAAGCCACTCCGACCGTCTTTTTCAGGGAAAGAAGCCGTTCACTGTGAAGTGAGGCTTGCCTGGTGAGTTGGTTTTATGGCTGCTTCTCGTGAACAACTCACTTATTTGTGCAACAATCTTACAATGATGTTCAGAGTGCCGTCTGGGGTGACAGGTGGAAGGAATCCTCAGTCAAGAAGTGTAACGTCGGGCAGGGGTGCAATGGTGGCCCCTAACTGAACATAGCCCTCCTTAATTCTGTCCCCTGGATGATCTATGACGCTCCTGGCAATTCAAGCGTGTGTACCCGAGCGGCTCACTCTACCTTCAGGAACTTAATCATCTTCTTCACCACTCCAGCTTTCAGGGCCTCCTCCACGATCTTCCGGGAGGAAGCAAGAGTGCGGCTGAGGACACCAGCAGCTCTCTGAGTGAAGGGGAAAGGAAAGATGATTAACCGTTCTCTTCAGAAACGCTGATGACCTTGAAAAGTCAGCAAGTAGCTTGGGGAGGCAAAAACAATCATTAGTATGGGGAGCAAAACCCGCACCTTGGTTTTACAAATGTGGAGTGGCCCTGGGACCAGCCGGGAAGCAGCGTTCATTTTATAGCTGCAGGGCAGGTCACTCCAAGGGCTGGAAACATGGCCTCTTGGCACACGGGGGCCTGGCTCACTTCAGCTCGACACACAATCGGCCAGTTCAGCTCCGGCAAAAAAAGTCCTGGACACCCCGCAGAGCTCTGCAGGCCCTTTACCAGGTGGTAGACTTCTTGGATTGACCTCGGGGTCTCATAGCTTTTCCTTCATTCCTTCCTCCCTCCCTCCTTCCCTCCCTCCCTCCCTCCTTCCCTCCCTTCCTCCTCCTTCCCTCCCTCCCTTTCTTTTTTAAATAGCTAGCTGTTACTGTCTTATGGATAGAACACTATCTTGAATCCTTCCGAGGACACAAATGATAGTTATTAATTTTTTCTTCTGTTTCCTGTATCATTTCTATTTCTTTTGGGTTGATTTTTCTGTTACTCTTGGTTTTTCTATTTCTGTGTGTGGCTTTCCTGAAATGTCCGGTGACCTTAGCTGCCCATTTCTGGGCACATTTATGAAAAAGCAGTACAAATATATTTGGGCATGCTGTGTTCATGGGGAGTTAGTTGACTGACAGGTGGAAAGGAGGCACTTCCAAATCCTAGAAAGCAAGACATTTTTCTCTGGCCTTTCAATTCCATGAGAGAAAGCAAGCTTGAACTTCCCACCTGAGGGATAGCTGCCTGGCTGCCAAAGCGTGATCCCCCATCTCTCACTCATGCCCTGTGTGGTCCCAGTGTTGTGGAGTCTCCAACTTCTCCACGGCCTACGGGGCAGACCCGCATCCCCTATATCTGTAGACTGCACTGTTTCTTCGGCCCTGCCTCATGAATTATGCCTTTTACAGCTATTCTCCATCTTCCAGAAAAGGGTTAAAATGATTAAAAAACCAACTGGTGACTCTTGCCTGTTTGTTTTGTCAATGCGTGTTTCAAACTTTGTTGTTGCTGTTCCCTACTGCTTTCGGTCTGATTTTAATGAGGTTCTCCCTAGGGAGAAGGGATAAATGTGTGTATTACCATATTATCAGTCTTGTGTCCCTCAGCTGCCCCCTGCAGGTGCTAGAATGTTGCTGGAGTTGACACTATAGATCTCTTTTGAGGCCCAGGAGAGTGGAAGAGCACGGATCTCTTCTGAGGCCCTGGGGAGTGGAAGAGCACGGATCTCTTTTGAGGTCCTGGAGAGTGGGAAGAGCACTCTACTGAAGGACCAGAGTCTGCTGGTGAAGTGCTGCTGTGCTCCACAAGCAGGTCAGCACCGGACTCAGGCAGAGGCAGAGCCCTGGGAAGGTCTGGCCAGGAGAGTACTTGAAGGGTTAGCTCAGAACTACCCTAGGCCTCGCTCTGGTCTAAACCGTTCAGAAAAACCCAAGCACCTGAGAATAGTGGAGCTCACCAGTTTTGGGGTCATGGATCTTTTTTTGAAGATCTGATGAAAGTCATGATGCCTTTCCCATGAAAATGCACATACATTCAAAATTGTCTATACAATTTTAGGGGGTTCTGGGGAACTTGGAGACCTACCACACATTCCTGGAGTTCACATTAAAAACCTCCATCCTCTCATGTCTGAATTGACTTCAGGGAATTTATAGGCATACTAGCCCCAAACAGGACTCATCAGATCTGCTCAGAACCTTTATTGTGATCCTGGACCCAGTCCCCAGTCTGTGTTCCTTGAAGGGCTGGTTTCCAGACCTGTTGGATGTCCCCTGGTTGTTTCTCTAAGCACCAGGGCCCTAACTTAATAGGTGGAAAAGTTGGGGTGATTACTTATGTTAGTAAAGAACACATCCTAGGATGGCAGCAAATAGTCTGATGAATCATACTGATGTTCTCCTAATACTCTGTGTTAACCATAGGTCTTTCTTGGCTTTCTTATCCAAATGTTAGAAACAGAAATGAGAACGCCATCCCAGCATATATCTCTAAGGGGACTAAAACCATTATGCATAAACAACTTCAAGGATCATGGGCTTCAAAATACACGCCTGGCTTTCTTGACTACAGAAAAAAAGAGATTCTAAATAAAATCTTGTGGCCTGTCCAATTTGCACCAGGATATCTTGGAATAGGACAAATCAGATAAATTACATTGTATAAGTTGGTAAGTTGCAAACTCTACAGAAAAGGGATTCTTAACTTGGGTCCATGGACTCTAGGGGGTCCACAGATGGGCACTGGGTGGGGGCGTCACCGAATCCCCAGGAACAACAAAGGAAGTGGTTTCTGGATTTCCCTGGGAGACACTTACTGTCAGGATCCCTCCATCTTGGCTGTTCAGTAGAAGCATGCACCTCCTGCTCACCTCCAAGGCCCAAACCTGCCATGACAGGGAGAGAGGAGGAGGTCTGAATGGCCTATTAATGTGAATCCGTTATGGAGCTTCTTCTGAGCAAACAGACCTGACCTCTCGCTCTTCAGCAGGGCCATGCTCCGTCCATATTTCCCTCACAACCCCTTCTATCACTCTTACATCTTCCCACGGCTGTCTCCCTAACTACAGGGCAATACCTTGAGATCAGAGACCATATTTTTTTGACTTTGTAAATGCAGAACCTAGCACCATGCTCAACACATCCATTTTTTGGATGAACACCTGAGTGACTCATCTATTTCTCGGAGGAACAAAGTGACAGAGCATCTGTCCAGCATTCCCCGTTCCCGCCGCCAGGGTTTGAGTCCCTGTGCTATATTCTCTTTGTGAAAATGAGAGCAGTTCTAGCAATGGCACAAGCCTGGGGTGTCCCAGGGCTCCTAGCAGGGAGGAAAGAACACCGCACCTCACAGACGATGGGGGACTGAAGACACAAGTTCATCACAAGTCCCAGGAGTGTGTACAAGACCTCTCTGAACAGGTCCACATCCTCCTCACATCTGGCCTTTGGAAACAAAGCAAAGTAATCAATGACCTTTGCGCCCTGCAGCTTTTCATGACCATCTCATCCCCTTGGCAATGGCCCCAGCATGACTTACCCTCCCTAAATTGTCAATGTCATGAACCTAGCGGATGTTGGGAGATCAGAGACCAGTTCCATGGATTGGTGTTAGTGTGGGAGACTGGCCAAGGGTCTCCAGTGCTGTGCCATGTCACTCTGGTTCAGCCTGGTCCGTGAGCTGCTGACGTGGGTAGTCAAGCCAACTCCACCAGAAAACCCTTCAGACCTCTCCAGGGGGGCTGAGGCTTGCCCTGGAGGGCGCTGTAAGGCTGGCCACCCATAAAATCCAAATTGTAGAAGGGATAAGCCACTGGTGCCGTACCCTCAGAAGTTTTGGAAAAGCCAGATAATCAGCAAGAAGGCAATGCTCCCAAAGCAGGGAAAAGACGAATTCTGACTAGAAAAATTATAATACCATGAGGCCCAAGCAGGCCTCCCGGAACTCTTCAGAAGCAGACATCTGTCTTCGGATGGCGGCCTCAGCACTGAGGTTCCCCATGAGGGCAATGCACCGGCAGAGAGCTGTGGGGTTGGTTACCATGGGATCTCTCTTCTGAAAGCGAGTCAAGAGAAAAAAAGTCTGCAGAGAGCAGGCAAACAATGCCGGAGCAATCTCTAGGGGCGTCCCTCACTCTCAAAAATGCCTGGGAACCAGAGAGTACAATGTCACCCAGGGGCGTCAATGGGCTCACACTGACACCAGGATGGAGGCACACAGAGGGGGAGACCCAAAAGCACTTTAGCCTGGAATAGAGGGGCCTAGGGCTTCACCCTGGGGATGCCACCAAGCAGCTGGGAGAATGTGGGCAAGTCTTCTCCCTTCTCAGAGCTCCCATTTCCACATGTGTGGAATACGGGAGTGTGGATATGCTCTCAGATCCCGAGACTTCTCTGGCCCCCTTGGGACAGGTCCCCGTCATAGCATGCTCTCCTAGGAGAACCCCACCCTGCTAAGTCCTGTGTCATAGGCTCAAATTACCACTTGCCCTCCTGGTGGGGCTGACTGCCATTGAGAGAACAGGGCAGCCCCGCAGTCCTTATGACGGGTATTAGGGTCAGAAGGGGACGGACTGGGACGGACCCCCTCTCTCCGCCTTCACCTAAGACGCACAGTCCACATCCACCTTTGTCTCCCCCGTACCGGCCCCATCCATACGCCATCTCCACCTGTCCCTACGGCAGTTGTTTTAATAACTGAGAATTGTGTAAATTCCAGCTGTGAGTAAATGACTAATCAACCTGAGAGACGACAGGAGCCCTGGAGTGTAAACTGTGTTTAAATGGCTCTGCTCACGTGCCTGAGAATACCTGTCACGGGTGATAAAAGTGAGGGGCTTGCTCACCAGAACACTTGTGAGTGCCAGGAGCACACCTGGAAGGTTGGCCTGGAACCAGACTTGGAATCTGTTGAGAAAATATTCCCACGATTTATTTCTGCACTGCATAAACTAGAACATAAACACAGTGTCTTGGACAATGGACCAGACTGTCACAAACTCTGGGCCCATGTGATCTGCAGCATGCACGTATGGTTTATTCTGAACCACCCCCGCCCCCCCACAAATGTCACTGGGTATGTAACGTGGCTTTAATTTTTCTAAGTCAGGAGAATTGCCTTTGATGTTAAACAACAGATCTCAGATGGCAGCTTTCTCAAAGCAGAAGCTGCTGGAAGCCCTAGATTTCTGCCAAGCTGACTCGCCGCCACCCCTGCCCTCCCCTTGCTCTGAGCCTGTGTGCCCTGCAAACAGGAAACACAGTGCAAGCATGTTTCTGGAACACGGTCATGGGGAAGGCCCAGAGGCACACACGTCTGCACCTGCGAGGGAGGCTCTTACCTGTTCCCAGCCCATGCCAACGGCCTACGAGCACAAACAGCTCTGTCTCATTATATGGCCATTTCTAAGCAAGACACCCTAAAGTTTGTGAGGAAATTTAAAAAACAGACAGATGTACTTAAAAAAACCCTCAAGAAATACGAAAATCTAAGACGCTTGCTGTTTTTCCCAGCAGCTAAGTGGAGATGGGGGGGGTTACCCACAATGCCACTGGTAACCCAAGGGGAGGCTACCTTCCACTGTGCCGTCATTCAACACACACTTGCTGGGCAGTTCCTATTAGGCACTGATGAAGGGAAAGCAGCTTCTCCACTACATAGTAGGCTTGTTTACTGTGAGAGGTACTGTTTGAAGTATGCTGCTGCTTCCAAACCCATCGAGGACTGGGTCCCCCTGCACGCAGAGGGACAGGAGTGGCCAACTCCAGCCCCCTGCTTGGAAGGCATCAGCCCTCCTACGCAGTGAATCTTGTGATGCTCAGTTGGCCAAGCCTCCCTTCATACTGCACATTTTTAAAGATCAGACAGTTTAACAAAGGTTGAAGAAGAAATGTCAATTTCTGGAAATAAAAATTACCTTTCTTCCAGAGCCAAGTCCGTGAGGAGTCCCATAGCCGAGTTGGCCTCCTTATCTGAGAAATCAAGAAATGACACCAAGGCTTCCAACAATCTGCAAAAATCCATAACAACCTCAGAGCGGGCTGTCCTCCAGCTGAGAGCATCCCCAACAAGGAGACCTTGCAAAGAGACCAGGAAGGAGTCTGCGTGTGGGTCAAAGAAGCCGAAAGGGTGGCCTCGCTATGTCCTCCTAGGAAGCCCAGATCCCTGCCCACCACAAAGACAGAGACAACCTCCTACGGGAATGGCTCTGCCACTTAATGTTAACTCCCAGAGGGTTGAACAGTTTTAACCAAAGTTCATTGACTATCAGATGTCAACTGGGGAGGAATCTCGAGTGCTTCTGCCACGTGACTCTGGCTCAGCCAAGTTCAATCACATAAGTGACATTTAAGTGGCATGCTTACTAACCTGCTGATGACTAAAGTGGGAGGGAGGGCCCCCTAACGAGGTGGGGGATGGAATAAGGATTCAACAAGATTTTGACAGGCTGCTGAATATGTCAGATGAAATTTAATAGGGTTAAATTCAAAGTCCTCCACTTAGAGCTGGAAATTCTATATAAGTGATAAAATGGGGAGACCTGGTTTATGCCTGGTTCATACAAAAAAGATGTAAGGGCTCTCAGCCAACTGCAAACCGAGTCTGAGCAAACGGTCCGCAGCAGCTGCCCGAAGGAGCTAACGCAATTTTGGGCGGCTGCCCTAACAGACTGACTGGCACCACTGGGAGTCCTCTGTCTGTCCAGCCAACCCGCCCTAAGCACCTACAGTGTGCTGAGTGTTGTGCTTAGTACAGGGGCGCAGTGCTGGGCTCCAGGTGACCTACAGTGACCCACGTGTGTTCACTGGAGCGGGTCGTACCGGAGGCAGGGAATCCGACTGGGGAAGAGCTTGAATGGGCCAGACAGTAAAGAGGGAGGGATTCGCTGGGGCAGGGGCAGAGGGAGACACCCCGCTGGGAAGAGAGAGGCCTTTGCGAAAGCCTAGAAGGGCAGGTCACAGATGTCCGAGGAGAGCCATAAGGAAGGGAGTCCAGATGCTGAGGAGGGAGAAGTGACAATACACCATCTTCCTACAGGATTCTAGCTTATGCAACTGGGTGGATGAAGTGCCACCTATGAAGGCAGGAAGTTCAGGGAGAGGTCCTGGTTGGAAGAACCACTGGCAATTTCAGTTAGTAATGCTTGTGACGTTGAGATGGACATGTCCAGCGGCAGAGGGAAGGCTCCGAGCACTCAGAGGACTTACACACGATAATTAAGGCCATGAATGAAAAGAGGGCCAGGAGTAGGATCCCTGACTTGGAAGGGTGACGGCATAAGGGGAGCTTGTGAAGGAAGCCAAGAAGGATGCGCCTGGGGGTAGGAGGAGGACCAAGAGGGGCAATGGTCTGACAGCCACACTGTGGAGTTTCACGAAATGTGGTAGTGATCCACAGGACCCATTGCCATTGGGCAGTTAACAATAGAGGCAGGAAAGGGACTATCAGATTGGGATTTTAGGAATGGACTCCAGTCACCCACATCTACACTACTGGATTTATTTGGCAGCTTGTTCTAGGAGGGATGTGAAAGTCAAATCATGTGAAGAATGGTCAAGGAAACCAGGATGCTTAACCTGGAAAAGATCAGCGTCTTCAGATGCCACGAGCACCGGAAAGTGGGAGATTTGATGCATTCTGTAGGCCTTCAATAGACTGAACCAAGGCCTCCGCGTAGGGAGCATGGGATGGGGCAGGCAGTCTGTGCCTGGTGCAAGGAGATAGCTTTCTATCAGTCAGGATGGAACAGGATGAGCTGCCCTGGGAGGTGAGATCTGCATCTTTTCATTGGCTGGGAAAAGACTCCCAGTCTATTAGCTGTTACAGCGCCCATCCTAATCAAATGGAGAAAAGTATAATGGGTAATGCCGGAATCTCCCCTGGAGGGCATCACGCACAGGCCATAGTGGGGTACCCCACAGGGGACACGGGCACTGGGTGGGGCAGGACCAGACTGTTTCTGTGGTACTGGGTAACTCCAAGCTGCTGCAAATCCCCAGTTCCTCAGAGGTGTGCTCTAGTGTTCCTGCTGTCAGAAATCATGTATTTTGCTGTTAGTTCAGATTCTTCCTTCACCAATTAAATCTGTTTTCTTCAGTCTTGAGGATGAATGCTAATGAACCTGAAGTGTACAGAAGAGGAGGTGGCAGTCTTAGATCATCTTGGTTTTTGTCGGGGCGCCTGGCTGGCTCAGTCATTAAGTTCCTGCCTTCGGCTCAGGTCATGATCCCAGGGTCCTGGGATCGAGCCC